GGTTCGTATGTTTGGTTATAAGGCGTACCATGGAACCACGTACCATGGGGCCCCAGGCTGCCAACGGTAGCCGGGCTTACGAGACGTACTAAACGTGACTTGTCACGGGTCCTTCATCGAATGGAGGAGAGCGAAATCGATGGTCGTAAGAGCCAATGGGAGCGGAGCGACCATGGCCGAACGGAAACGCGTGCAGACTTGCATGCGGATCCACTCCAGCTTGTCGTCCCGACCGCGGGGAGGCATACGGGGTATAAAAAGGGCAGAGGCGCCCGTCTTTCGAGAGAAGGGAACTTGGTTCTCTTTTTATTTTTTTAATTCCTTTGGTTGGCTCCGACAACAAACTGTGAGGATCTGTCCTTGACTACCATCAAGCGAGGCTTGAAGTGCAGCGAGGCTGTGAATTCCTTCGACAAACGGAAGCATGGCGTACAGCTCCTACTCGTTCCGTGGCAAACGAGGTTATCGTCGTGGAGGACGACGCGCTTACTCCCGGTACGGGAAGAAATCTTCGGGGAAGAAGAAGACTACAACCACCATGGCCAAGGGCTCATCCCGCACATCGATGCGGACTTTGGAGGCAAAGATCGAGGATCTGAAGCTGAAGGCGAATGGAGAAGTACATAAGTACTCCTTTTCCGGTCTACCGGGTTCCATGGACAACCTGGATGTTGTTTCCATGTCAGGCGGTCGGTACTACTTTGCTGTACCGGTCTCGGAGATCTTGCGGGAGCTTTGCAAGAATCGGCCTGGTGGTGCCGTTTATGTGACGGGCATCTCCTTGGAAGGAGATTTCTTCCACGCATCCCCGATGGAGTGGTTTGCCACTTGTGTGAAGGTGCCTTCCGCCACCCTTCCACCGATCGGTGTAGATACGAACACTTTGAGTTTTCCCCTGGGGAGCTTGTCCCTCGATGTGAAGGGACAGGTGCATTTGTGGCCGGTCGAGGACCGCTATGTCCAGAGTGTCTTCGGTGGGGCGTACACGGAGTATGCCAGAGACAAGAGTCTGTTCCACGCGCCGATGAAGTCGGGCGTCTGTCCGCGAGGCAATGTGACGTTTAACGGCAGCAAGAAGGCAATCAGACATGCAGGTAGGGCAAGTGCCACCTTGGCCCGAAAGGGCGACATGTCTACCGGTCTCATTACCGACAGCTTCGTGAAGGACACGTTCCGTGTCTGGTGGGACATCAACGATAAGGTCACTGTTTGTGATGCCCGGGGGAACTTTGCTCCCGATCGCCATACGATCCTTTGCGGTGCGCGTCCACAGGTGGATGAGGGTTTGAACGCGGGAGGCAAGGCCAAGGCTCTGACCATTGCCTATTTCAAGCACATTCGCTTGACGTTGTACCTTCGTTATTAGAGTAGTTTTCCGTAGTTTTGTTCGTAGTGTAGTAGAGTGAGATACGATGCATTGCTTTTATCCAGTGTGCCTGGCTACCAATTGAACTGTACAAGTGATTGATCTTTCGTTGAAGTGCTACCACTCCTAAGATAACCCCCGGAGGGAATATCTAGACTATGAAAAGCCACCTGCAGGGTTGCACGAACCCGACATGCCGTAAGGCATGGAGTGGTGAGATGTTCAAGAGCGCAGTGACCGTAGGGAACGAGCATCACGAGAGAGATGAGTGACATCGAATGAAATGAGAGACAGTCGAGGAGTGAGCGCGTAGTGCGAACGGACAATGACAAGCGAGGGCCCGAGAGGGCACGAAGCGTTGTGACCAGTACGCCTTT